GATAATGAAAGCCCCACATGTCACAACGGAATGTTGTCTGCTGTATGGGAAGATGAGACCACCAGGTTGGAAAGCATTCAAAATACACAATTCCATCAAGTTTAGAAAGCCTACTACTCTGTCGTGTAAAGAGACTGCCAAATACAGCCATAAATGCACAATCCAAAGAGGGTAAAATTAATGAAAGGGACCTTTAAAAGATTAAATCCCTGTGCTCATCAAAAACTTTTTTCAGCTGGGTGAAAAGAAAACCTACTGACTGGGAACAAACATTTGACAATACCAGCTCAGACAAGAGTCTCATAACAAAAGCTTACAGAATACTCCTGGGCCTTCACAAGTAAAAGACTGATAATCCAATTACAAAATGGGTGAAAGAATTTTCACTGAGGAAGATATTGGAAAGGCCAACAGACACATGAAGAAATGCTCAAAATCACAGGCAGTAAGAGAGATGCAAATCAAAACTACATAAAGATACCATCTCACTCCAGTAGCAGTGGCAAAGTTTAACATGACAGTAAATAAATGTTGGAGAAATTGTGGTGAGATAGGAACTCTTATACATTGTTTATGAGATTGTACAGTGGTACAACCACTCTGGAAGGCAGTTTGATGCTTCCTCAGAAAGTTGAACATAGAAATTCCATGTGACCCAGATATTCCACTGCTTGCAATATACCCCAAGAAAATGAAAACTGAGGCACAAATGGAGATTTGTACACCAATGTCTATAGCAGTGTTTTTCATCATGGCAAGAACATGAAAACAGCCCAGATGTCCAACCACAAACGAATGGATTGATAAATTATGGTACAATCACACAATGGAATACAACGCAGCTCACAGGAGCAATCATTTTGTGAATTACTACCTAACTTGGGAGGGACTGGAGAGCATTATGCTGAGTGAAAAACTCAGTCCCATAAGGACAAATACTGTATAAAATCATTATTTTAGAATGAGTATGAGGATCCAGTGTGGGGGAGGAGGGTAGAAGCAGAGGGGTGAGGATGTGTCGGGTAGGGAGAATTAAGCATAGGGTTGCACAATTTGATGGGTAGGGGGGTGAGGGAAACAAATGCGAAGGAACTAGTGTGAAAAATGTATTTGAATTTGAGGGAGCTCTGGTAGCCTAGTGGCAAGAAGCTGCACTGCAATCCCAGAGGTCCACAGTTTGAATCCACCAGATGCTCTGCTGGAGAAGGAGAGACAATCTCCTCCTATACCAGTCAGATCTGCTTTGATGATACACACACACACAAAAAAAATAAAAATAAAAAACAATGGATTTGAATTTTGTAAAAAAACTAGTTTAATAATAATAAAAAATTATTTTCCTTGAATATGATGCTTATCAACTTGGCAAGGTTAGGAAAATAACTTTTATTAACTAACAATTCACAAGAAAACAGATAAAGTCCTTGCATCATGGATGACGAACTCTTCTTAGCAGGAACTTGATCAAAAGGGAGAAGTGTAAACAGAAATTTTGAACTGTAAGCTTTGTGTCAGAGGTAAGAATGACGGGACCAATGCGTATTCCCAGGAAGCAAAAGGTCATAATGTAAGCCCTTTGTTTCTAGGAAGAATGTGTCATGACTAAATTTGTTCTCAGGAAAAATAAAATACTCAATACACAAAATCTGCTGCCAGAAAAAGCAAAGGACACCCACATTTATTGCAGCTTTGTTCCCAATAGCAAGGAGTTGGAAACAACCTAAGTGCCCATCAACAAACAAATTGATAGAGAAGCTGTGGTATAGTCACACAATGGACTACTACGCTGCATTGAAAAACAAGGAACTCATGCAATATTATTCAAAATGGGTGACCCTGGAGGACATTATGCTAAGTGAAGTATTTCAGTCACAAAAGGACAAATATTGCATGGTGCTCCTGTTGTAAAGCAGGACTGACATCGGGGTTGGGGAGAGACTGAGAAAGATGGGTTCAATAATGTATACTGCATTGAGACAGATGAGGGAGAAAACTGTTTAAAAGGGATATGTGATTAGATATTTTTGTCATGACAGGAGTCCAGAGCGAAGGCTGCATAGTGGAGTGGACCTGGGGGAGGGTTTGTAAAACAATGAAAGACATTTTCTTTTATTTTCCCAAAAGGGAGGTGTACTAGGGAGGAGCGTTGGGAGGGGAGAAAAGTGCAACAGTGAATGAATGGAAACCCAAAGTCTCCGTAAATTTTCATTGAAATTAATAATAATTTTTTATAAAAAGAGGCAAATAAAAAAAGGTAATTTAAAAAATTTAAAGGAAAAGAAAAAGAAAAGGGTGAAGTGAAAAAAGCAGGCGTTTTATTATATGCTAATCTACAGGAGCATGAGGATAAGAGTTTCTCAGATGTGCCTGGCCGAGAACCCTGTCCCGGAGAATGTGAGAGCTTACATAGAGGAAGGCCAGGCCTGTGGGTATAAGATGTTTTCACAGTGTCTTCTCTTGTCTGTGAGGAGTTCTGAGAAGTGACCATTTCCTGGACTAGTTATTCTGGTCTTATCTATATTCTAATGGCCATTGGTGTTATTCATATATGGCTTAATGGGAGCAACTCTTAGATGTAGAATACAGGAACAGATGGAAAAAGCAACAGATTGGTTTTCAATTGATAACTCTGCTAGATTTCCCCGCCCCCTTCTTGTTGGGTATTGTCATGTTGAGTATGACCCATAGTGACACTATGAACAACAGAACTAAACTCTGTCCTATCCTATGCCTTGTTGTTGTTGGGTGCTGTTTCTCCATCCTCCCACCCCTCTTAAGATATTAAAAATTGCTAGTCCTTTATTGTTGTTATGTGCCATCAAGTTGGAATCGGCTCATAGCTGACCTTCCAGTGGGGTTTCAGAGGGTATAAATTGCACAGGAGAACACGGTCCTTCTTGCCCTTCCCGTGTTGGATTTGAACTGTATTTGCATTAGCAGCTCAACTTCTTACCACCAGGCTCCCTGAGGGCCCTCATCCTGCATAGCTGTTGTTGTTATGTGCCGCCGAGTCAGAACCGACCCATAGCTGTCACTTCGGCGGTGTTTCATAGACAGTTAAACACACGGGAGGAGATTGCCCATCCTTCTTCCACAGAGCAGCTGGTGGACTTGAACCATGTGCCTTCAGAATTACAGGACAGAATCTTACTACCAGGCCACCAGAGCTCCCTACATTAGTACAGGGCTAATAGCGTATTGATTAGTTAGGAAAGAAGTCATTTTGTCTGAAGTATTGTTGTTGTTATGTGCCATCAAATCAGCTACAACTCATAGTGACTATCAACAGCGGCTCTGAACCTTGTCCTATCCTGAACCAATTTCACCATCACTGACACACCTGAGCCCATTGCCACAATCGCTGTGTCTATTCATCTCATTCAAGGTCTTCCTCTCCTTTGCTGTCCCTCCACCCCTCCAAGCATGATGTCCTTTCTCCAAGGACTGGTCCCTCCTGGTCACGTGCCTGAAGTATGTCAGACGGAGCTTCAAAATCCTTGCCTTCAAGGAGCAGCCTTGTTTCACCCTCTCCAGGACAGACCTGTTTGTTCTCTTGGCAGTCCATGGAGTGTTCCATTTTCTTCTCCACAACCACAACTCAAAGGCATTGATTCTTCTGTCATCTTTATTCACTGTCCAGCTGTCCATTGTATAGGAAGCAATTGAGAAGATATGCCTGAATCAGGTGCACCATAGTCTCTAGTCTGACATTGTTGCTCTTTAGCACTCTGGAGAGGTCCTTGACAGCAGATTTTCCAATGCAATTTGTTTTTTTATTTCCTAACTGCTGGTGTCAAGATCATGGATCTGAGCAAGATGAAATTGGAGCTCTGATGAGCTGAAGTAGTACAAAGTATTCATTTTCTGTGACTTTAGTGTGAGTTGCATGGCCACAATCATGGACTTGAACTTGGTGGCTTAGAGGCATGAAGCTGCGCTGTAATTCCAAAGGCAGGCAGCTTGAATCTATCTAGCAGTTGTTCAGAGGGAGAAAGATGGGCTTTCTCCTCACTTGTGATTTACTGCCTCTGCAAACCTGCTGAAGGGTCAGCTATGAGTCAGCTCCGACTCCACAGCACACAACAATAACCATGAAGATGGTACAGGACAGCATTTTGTTTCATTGCCCAAGGTCTGTCCATGAACCAGAGCTGCTAAGACAGCAGCTAAGAACAGTAACAGATCAGAGTGCATCTCTTAGCGACTGCAGGGTGCCAGGTACACGTTTTCTCCTTACTTTGACAGGGTTCTCATGCCAGTCCAATGGCACAGACACTACTGTCACGTCTTCCCTTTCATACATTGAGGTACAAGGTCACACAGGTTGCAAGAGGCAGAACCAAGATTTGGATCCCGGAGTCTGATGTCACGGTGGTGTATATGCTCCCTGGTATGATGTCACAGGTTCGGGCAGGGTTTTCCATCAGGGTTGCACATGGGGTCACTATGCATCCGAGTGGACTCCACTGTTCCTATTAACAACAACAACAGCAGCAGCATTTTAGCGTATGAGATAAAAATCTGCAGCTGGTTAGCTGGTGCCTGGCACACAGTCAGTCCCTAAAAAACAATGAAGGTTATCATTACCCTATGGCTCAGGCTTAAGCACTACTCAATGTGGGTGCAGGTCGGGGGTTGTGTGTAAAAAAAGAGTGAGGATAGAGGTAAAGCTGGGGAACAAGAGGGAACTGGGGGTCCCGCCCCCGCCCCCCAGGGATCTTAGATGAAATAATTGCTCTCTCCCATCCCCCAGAAAGGCCTCAGGCAGGTGGAGGCCTCCTCCCTGACCTCCCAGATTGACAGGCTTGATAGAAGAGGGCAGGGCGTGGAGCTGGGAGGTGGGGATTCTGGGTCATAGGGTTAAATTAAAAGGAAGGAGGAGCACACAAGGCCTTCAGAACTCACGTACCTTTCTGGGGAAGAGGTGCCCTGGAGAGGAGCTGGGGGCTGGGAGGGCCAGAGCCAGAGCTGATCTTGGAGATTGGGCGCTCCGAGACGGGATGGCCTCACAGAGGTCTGTGCGGCTGTCCCTGAAGAAACCCACCTATGCTGTGTGTGTGGTGGGAGTGGAAAAGCTCGTGGACATTCGCAGGTGAGAGCGGGGTGCCCACCTGCCTGGGCGAGAAGAGAGGTCCCTGGGGCGGTGAGGTGCGCGCTGGTGATGAATCGATGAATCGCACGTGCTGCAGGATGCTGGCAAGCCAGTGATTGTTTTGACAACAGAGAAGGTGGAGCTGGCTCCGGAGCCTGGGAGGGAGGGGCTGGGGAAGCAGGTCTGCCTTCAGGTTGCAGGGGGGTTAGGGTTTTAACCTCGAGCCTCTGTGTGTGGAGTCTAGCCTTGAGTTCCTAGTTCTGAGTCCTAGGCTCCAGGCGCTTGTCCTGGGACCAGACACAGGGCTCTGGGTGCTGATTTCGGAACAGAACTGACATTTGTCTGGATCATCGGAAGGAATAGCTGCTCAGGAAGCTGGCAGGACTAAGTCTCTCTTCCTCTCCTTCAATACTTTGCCTCAGTCCCCTCCAGGAAGCCAGATCCTTAAAGGCCAGCCAAGGGCAATGAGGGTAATTTGGCTTAGGAGAGGCTAGTCAATGACCTCAGAAGGGAAAATAACTTGGAGTGAGGCCCGAGATTGGTGTTGGATGAAATGGTGAAGATGGTCAGCGTTGGGGACGAGGATGACATCTGGTGGGACATCTTCTGCTGTTGACCCAGCCAGATCCCTGCCTTGCCCAAATGTTTGGTCTCAGTTTCTCACTTGGTCCCTGAATGAGTTGAACTTGGTGGTCTCTGTGGACCTGTCCAGCTTGGAAAGACTGTCTTTGGCCTCCGTCCTAGCGATGTCAGATGGGGCTGGACTGCTGTGGTTGGGACCCAGGTTCCCCCTCCAAGAGAAGAGGGATGGATGGGTTCTGTAACGAGCCAGCAGGACTGTCGATATTAGAGCAAGCTATCAATTGCTCTTCTGGGGCAAGGCCTGTGCCAGGCCCTGTGCCCACTTGGTCTCATTTATGCTCCTCTCAGCCCAATAGAAAGGGGCCCTGACATAGTGCATGACTTATTTGTGTTGCTAACTGAAAAACTAGCAGTTCAAACTCACCAGGCTCTCCTCAGGAGAAAGATGGGCACTCTCTTTCCATAAATACTTACAGCTCCAGAAACCCACTGACGAGTCAGGATCAACTTGATAGCAGTGAGTTTTGGAACCAAATAAAATTGATGCTATTGTTATCCCATTCATCAGATGACAAAACTAAGATTCACCCTCATAGGTTTCAACCTGAACTTGCCCAGTCAGTTACTATGTACCGGCTCTAGCTTCCGATCTGGTCTCTACGCCACAAGTCCTTTCTGCCCCTATCCCCAGCCCCAGGAAGTGACCTGTGGGCCAAGTGGTGGTTCGCTGGAGGGAGCTGACCCTCTCAGAGGTAGAGGACACCCCATTCTCTCTCACCCTGTTAGCATGGAGCTGTCATTTTAGGAAATAAAAATATAGAATTTATGGAAAAATACTGAAATATAGAATAGTTAGAATTTCAGATAAACAAAAATGATATATATTGTTGTTGTGTACTGTGGAGTAGGAGCTGACCCATAGCTGACCCTCTGATGGGTTTTCAGAGGCAATAAATTGCACAGGAGAAGATTGCTCATCCTTCTCCCGCGGAGCAGCTGGTAGTTTTGAACTGCGTGCCTTCAGGATTGCAGTGCAGTTTTTAACCACATGGGAAGAAGGATGGGCAATCTACTCCTATGCAATTGACTACCTCTGAAAACCAGCTATGGGAACTCCAACTCAACAGGCAACTATAGCAACAATGTAAGTAGATTCCTAAGAATTGCATGACATATATTTATGCTAAAGATGGGTTATCTGAAACGTCAATTTAACTTCTGTTTTATCTTGTTGTTCTTGTATGTCCTTAAGTCAGAACGAATCCACAGCTGACCTCCAGCGGATTTTCAGAGGCAGCTAATCGCAGGGGAGGAGAGAACAACCTTTTATTAACACCAGGAACAAAGAGAGGCTTACCTCGTTTCTGTTTCTGGAAGGTGATTTCTGAACCTTGGGCAGGCTCTGGATGTGCTGCTGACTAAAGCTGGGAGCATTTGCCTAGGAGCCAGGACAGCTGGTTTTGCTCCCAGCCCCGTCACTGGTTTCCTGTCAGACTCGGTGCAAGTCACTGGTTCTCGCGGGGCCTCATTCTTCACCTAAGGCCAGGTGTGAGCTGAGTCCCTTCTGCACTAATGGACAGACTCTGATTCAATCCTGACTCCATTTCTGGCTGTGTGACCCTGGGCACGGTCACACTTCTCTGAGCCTCACTTTCCTCATCTGACATAAGAGAACAACAGCACGGATCTGAACGGGTTTGGGGGAACATATGTGAGGCCGTGCACATATGAAACGCAGAGCGAGTGCCCCCATACCTCTGATGATGCCGTGACCCCTCTGTTTTCTAGTATTTCCACTGTGCTCAGAGGAAGGAAGGAGCAGACGTGAGATCGAGACGCCTGTGGTGCATGCTCAGGGCAGGGCCTGCTTGTAAAGCTCCCCTGAAGTCTCCAAGCCCTTTGTGCGGCTGTGGTTCAGTGTTGTGGAGTTGCCCACAGCTCACAGCGGCCCTGTGAACCTCAGAGCTGCACCTCGCCCCACCCAGTCCTCAGTCTCCCGTTGTTACAGTCACTGTGTCAGTCCATCTGGTTGAGGGTCGTCCTCTCTTTTGCTGAACTAATCCAAGCCCCTCAGCGCCCTAAAAAGCAGAACCCCAACCTAGCTAATGGCAAGAGGGAGCTGGGTGTGTTATCACTGCTGCCCGTTGGCTACCAGATTTAGTAAATGAAAATATGGGACATCCAGTTAAATCTGAACTTCAGAAAACAGCAACAAAAAATCATTTCATTTTCGTTACCCTCTATGAGGTGGATTGATTCAGTGACTGGGTTAATCGGGATGGATGTGCCAGAGGCAGTGAGATTGGCACAGGACAGAGCTGGGTTTAGGGCTGTTGTACATAGGGTTGCTATGGGTCGCAAGCGACTCAACGGCACATAACAACAACAACAACAACAGCAACGTCATGATGTCCTATGTAATATTTGTCCCAAACAATTTTATGCTCCAAACATTGCATAGGGAGCTCTGGTGGTCTAGGGAGTAAGAAGCGGGGCTGCGATCCCGAGGACATGTGTTTGAATCCACTAGCTGCTCTGCAGACGGATGGACAATCTCCTTCTGTGGGATTGACTGCTCCTGAAAGCCTGCTGGAGGGTCAGCCATGGGTAGGTCCCGATTCTACCACTCACAGAAACAGTGTATGGGGCAAACTTAAAGGAAAGGGGAAAAAAGAAAAAGAAAAAGGTTTATCCGAAATGCCAGTTTTAGATAAGCAGTTTGTATTTTATCTGGCAAACTTTAACATCAAAAGTAGAGTGAAGTGTCTCTCATCTGAAGACACAGTTGAGAGAGGGGTGAGGAGGGGAGTAACTGGGAGATAGCTGTTCTGGGGTCCTGAGTTGGACCTTACAAGGTGCTTGTACCCAAAAGCCACTCAGGAATCTTCACCCCAGGTGCTGGTGATGACTAGGGCCCTAGTCTCTAAAGTAGAAAACAGAAGCTGGTTCTGCAGCAAGTTGGATTAAGATTAGATCTAAGGAAGAACTTCCTGCCAGAAAGGCTGGATAGGTGGAGGAAGAGGTCATGCAACTGTCAGCCTAGGAGGGATTTTCAAAGGAGGCTAGAGTTGATGGTCTGAGGATAGGACTGTACTTGATGTGGGGCTCCCTCATCCTCACTCTAGATGAGGCCAGCCACAGAATTCCTGATGGCCTTGCTGGGGGAGGGGTCATACCAGTCACCAGAACTGGCCGGAGTGTGAGCCTTCTGGAGAGCTGGTAGGGTTGGGTGTGAGAGGTGTGTGAGGTGACATCATGGGAAGTAATTAATTCCCTGGGGTGCTGCGTGCATGGGTTATTTGAAGAAATATTTGTGTTTGGGTGATTATGGACCTCTGGGTGTTTAGCCTCAGAAACCCTATGAACCCCTTGACCTGGAATTCTGCTCCTACACTGCAAGGGACCAGCTCCCCACCTGACACAACACCCCAGGGGACCAGCTCCCCACCTGACCCAACACCTCAGGTGACCAGCTCCCCACCTGACCCAACACCTCAGGGGACCAGCTCCCCACCTGACCCAATACCTCAGGGGACCAGCTCCCCATTGACTCTACACCTCAGGGGATTATCTCCCTATCTGACCCCAAACCCCAGGGGACCAGCTCCCCATCCTGACCTCATACTTCAGGGCTAGCTCCCCACCTGTCCCCTCACCCCAGGGGACCGGCTCCCCACTGACTCCACAGCCCTGAGGGCTGGCTCCCTACTCTGACCTCACACCCCAGAGGGCTAGCTCCTCACCCAGCCCCATGCTCTAGGGGACTAGCTTCCCACCTGAACTCACATCTCAGAGGGCATTACCCACCCTGACTTCATAACCCAGAGGGCCAGCTTCCCACCGACTTCCTACCACGAAGGGCTAGGTTCTTACTCTGGCCTCATATCCCAGGGAGCTAGCCCCCACCTGTGACCTCGTACTCCAGAGGACCAGCTTCCCACCCTGACATCATACCCTAGAAGGCTAGTTCTCCTCCCTGACTGCATATCCCAGGGGGCTAGCTCCCTACCCTGATCTCATACCCCAGGGAGCTAGCCCCCTACCCTGACCCCATACCCCAGAGGACCAGCCCCCCACCCTGACCCTATACCCCAGGGAGCTAGCTCCTTTTCTGACCCCATATCCCAGGGAGCTAGCCCCCTACCCTGACCTCATACCCCAGAGGACCAGCCCTCCACCCTGACCCTATACCCCAGGGAGCTAGCTCCTCTTCTGACCCCATATCCCAGGGGGCTAGTCCCCTACCCTGACCTCATACCCCAGGGCTAGCTCCTCACCCTGACTCCCTTGGATTTTATAAAACTGCTATGGACATCCTTGCTTTTGGTTGGGAATATGGGGTCATACCAATAAGGTGGGGCACAGTGCAGAGACCTGTCAGCCATCAGCATGGGTTTCTTTGTTCATCCAGGAGCCTA